TGGAGAAAAACCTTGAAGTGTGCCTCACAATCACACTGGAAGAACAAATCTTGATGATTCAGCATTCCGACCCTGAATTGAGAGACCTGATCCAGATCTTTCGAAAGGACCCGTGTGATAGGACAGTAGGAGAACAAAATAGAATTAACGACTACAGCTACAAAGGAGGCAGACTTTTCCGCATGGTGAAAAATGGAGAAGAGGAACGAGCCCTGTATGTTATACCCAAAAGTATGAGGAAAAGCTTAGTTGTCAAATTCCATGATCTAATGGGACATTTTGCGACTGATAGGACTTTCAACAAAATTAAGGAATTGTACTGGTTTCCTTCAATGAAGAGGTACGTTCGACGCCATGTGGCTATGTGTCTCGAGTGTCTATTTAACAAAGTTCCCGGTGGAAAACAACAAGGCTTCCTACATCCCATTAAGTCAGGCAAGAGACCGTTTTCCATCGTACACATGGACCACGTAGGCCCCTTCGTGAGAAGTACAAAAGGTAACCAGGAACTTTTAGTGATTGTCGATAATCTGACAAGATTTGTCCGATTAAGCCCTGTAAGGAATACATCGACGCAGAACGTCCTGAAGGTAATGAAAAGTTTTGTGAATGATTTCGGACTACCCGACAAGATCATCAGCGACAGAGGGTCATGCTTTACCTCAAGGCAATTTGAAGAATTCTGCCGAGGAAATGGAATACACCATACTCTGAACTCTACGAAACATCCGCAAGGGAACGGGATGGTCGAAAGAGTGAACCGAACAGTATTGTCCACTATAGCAACCAGTATCGAGGATCCGCGACGGAAGGATTGGGACCTGAAGATCAAGGAGGTAGAGCGAGACCTGAACAATGCGGTGAACAAGACGACGAATAAAACACCGTTCGAAGCACTCCACGGCTATTCCCCTCGATTCCACGATGGGATACTTAGAAGATTAGCCGACGAAGACGTGGACCCATGGACCGAGCCGGATAGAATTCAAGAGAGTGTGAGAACCCAAATTGAGAATAAACAAGAAATTATGAAGACATACTACGATAAGAAGAAGTGCCGTATAATCCAATTCGAAGTAGGAGAAATTGTAGTGATGAGGCATGTACCCAAAATGACGGGTGAACCAACCAAGGCACAACCCAAATATCGAGGACCTTTGATAATTACCGAGGTTCTGCCAAGCGACACGTATAGAGTGACTCAGTTAAGCGAAAGAACCAGTGGACGGTTCTACACGACAACGGCCCATATCAGTCAACTGAAGTCTTGGCACAGTGAAGAAGATGATTCAGCTACAGAAGAAAGTCCGGACGAGGAGCCAGAAGTAGAAGATACCCCCCGACGCAACCCACGACGTTCCTGCAACGCAAGGTTCAATCGAGGACGATTGAAATCCAGGAATGGCCGAATGTAGGCGCCATCCCGACCAGAGAGCCACAGATAAACAGATTATAAACGCACAGAATATAGAATCCGAGCTCCCCAGTAGAAGGAATACCCGGAAGACGACGGTACTCTCTGTTATATGTGTTGTTCACTATTATGATTTTGTTTTAATAAATGCTACTATATTATTTCATTGGATCCTCTCTTTCTTTTTCCCAGTAAGAAACGCCTACGGAAGCCAACAGGACCCAGGTCCTCGCAATATTTTTATCGTTGCAGTAAGACCAACGCAGTTATAAAATTGTTTTGGTAAAAAAAGAAAAGGAACATTCACACTTCAATATTTTACATTTTAGAATATAGATGACGCGTTAAATAATCATAATTAACAATAAAAAATCTACTGCTTGCGAAATATTAGTAAAAATGTGAAAAAAAACCAGTATATTATTTGTTGTTAATATAATCCCTTCGGTTTAATTATTAATAAAAGACAATTCGCTGAGGGAAAAGTTTATTTTATGTATATACTAGACGGGTGACCCGGGCTTCGCCCCGGGATTGACCCGTGTGCATATTTACCCGAGTGATATATATTTAGATAAGATTTTTTATAATTGTTTGTTATTAGCATTATATATATATATCTATTTGTTTGCATCAGCATAATTTAATCTAATCTTTGATAGAGGGCGCTGTTCGTGAGCTAAGTAGAATAATTTGAATATATAGTTTTAATAATTGATTTATATATTTTTTAAAATAGCCTATCGTCTTCCCCGTATTTTTTTACCTCTGTATGGAAATTATGGTTTGAATTAGTGAACTACTGAGAATTTGTATACCGGACATACAAACAAACATTCATTTATATATATATAGATATTGTCTTTTATTAATAGTATATTATTTACTTATCTGAAGGTCATTGTGTCATTAGTTGTCAATAAATCTTTGACAACTTTTGTTATTTTTTTTATATGTGTTGACAACAGGAGAAGTTTATTACACTTTGATTTTTCCACCATTATTTCTCTTTTTTACTTTATTTCTAACTTCACAAGTCCCGGAGGCCTGGCTTATAGAAATATTTGAGCTTTTATTCTAGGAACTTTAATTTCTTTGTTTTTGACCATACCAAATTATTTTGTTTTAATATATATTTTGAAAAAATATATAATAATTATATATAAATATGTTTATAATTAAAAAGGCATATATTGGATCAAAATATCATTTATTTTACCATATTTCAGTTGGCTGAACGCCAACCTTTATCAAGGTGTAATAACATTTTAAAGTGTGTCAACAACAAACCCAGCGCCACTTAACGTCAGCCAACTGAAATATTGGTAAAATAAATGATATTTTGATCCAATATATGCCTTTTTAATTAAATATTCAATTATGGATTGCTCTATTTTCAAAAATATAAATATGTGTTTTGTTTAAATATTCTTTTTAAATTTTGTTTTCTGTGTTTCAGAGATCGTGAATATAGAAGGTGCTACAAACCAAGCCAAGAATAAAAAATATATATACTTTACCGAATAAGATATGTAAATATATATTGTATATGGAAATACGTGCTTTTGGAAAGTATATATAGCAATTTCCTGAAGCATAAATTTAAACGAAATATTCATTAATATTCATAGATTTGGTTTATAACGCTTATTTTTATTATAGATGTTTAAAATGGAATTTTTTTTACTATGAATGTTAATGATTGTATGCGCTTGTGTTACTTTAAAAATCTAGTCATTATTTTATGTGTTATTTTAAAATTTATATCGTCAAAAATTAAATATTTTTTGATTTTTAATAACGAATTCAAGTTATTATATAATATTTATCATTTATGCCACCTTATATATAAAATTGATTTATTAACTTTACGAAATATATATATATTTTTGCTGTTGAAATCTTATATTTATATAATGAATAATATATGTTAAATATCTATTCATGATTCAAATATTTGTATTTTTAAATATCTTTAAAAGAATTTGTATATAATATTATGATTTTCAAAATACATAATTTAATTTGTGATCCTAAATTGTTTCTAATGATCTCTTAATGAATGCCCAAATTTCCAATGTATCCTTCTCCCTACAATGCCTCAGAATATTTTGAACATAATTTATAAATATTTGTAAAAAATATTTAAAATTTGTGTTTTTAATGCAATATATTTATCACTATGAATGATAAGGCATAACTCTGAACCGCTCACATATATTTTTAAATGGCAAAGTATGTGGGTGCCCTCTTCCGGAATAAATATCAACTAAACGTTTATTTGAACCTTTTTACTAAATATTGACTGATATCCATTTCCCAATATATTGAAATAAAGTTAAAAATCTACGTTAGTTGATATTTATTCTGAAATATGGCGATTTGCCATCTATAATACTTATTGAGCGACTCAAGAAAAACCTATTTTTGAAAATTTTACACAAAGAAGAAAAATATTTCAAAATATATTTTAACTCTCAAAATTATATATTTTGATCATATAAATATAATTATAAAGATTTTGAAAATTTATAAGTATATATATATACCAGGCTTTATAATTGTTATTGTATATTATATATTAGACACATTAAATAAATACATGTTTTGATTTAGCATATTTCTAAACGTAAATAAATGATGAAATTCACTTGAAAATATTGCTGTGTTGAGAAAGGTGCTTTGTTTAGGCCAAAAATGTGATTTCATGGCCAAAGGAATAAGGAAAGTAAATTAATTATTTTCCTGTAAGATTTCAACATAAAAATAAATTCAATTTTCATCATTATTTTAGAGTGTGATTTGATATATAATTCTAAATAATTACAGTTTAAGGAGATTTTTTTCAAGTGGTTTTTATTAATTTCATATTTTATTATTTATATCGAAATTTTATATTTTGAAATATAATTTTCTGTAATTAGAAAAAGTTTTAAAAATATATAAAAATGCATTTACATTCAGTGAAGAAATAAAATAATTGTAATATCTAGCACGGTTGTTAAATAAATGTGTATGTTTATGATTAAGTCGGGCTGTTTGCACGTGTCGTCTAGATGTCGTCCTGTGTCTTTTTTTGTGCCTTAAAAAGCTTACCTGAAAGCTTGTAGAAGGCGGAATAATTGATACTATGTTTATGATTAAAGAAAATTCATTTTATCACCACTAGATAATATCGCTAATAATTTAAAAGATGATATATAATTTCATAATATATGATTTAGAATGAAAAAAACTTCTATATTTTAGTGAGTATTGAATTATATTTTAATATTTTATATTACTTATAAAAATATAAGGTGTATATCGTATTTTTTTTATCATATTATTAAAATGAACATATACAATTCGTTTGTTCGAAAAATTACAAATATGTTCTTTTAGTAAAACGAAAATTAAAATTATACCGCGAATGTTTCTTTTTTAAAAATCGAAATTTATTTTCAAAGAGAAATAGCGACATTTCTAACTTTGAAGATGAGGTATGGAAAGGTGAAACATGAAGAGTAATGGAGAACGGAAAAATAAAAAGTGTCCAGGGGCGGGAATCGAACCCACACCCTTCTGCTTACCGGGCAGGTGCCTTGTCCACTCGGCTACCAGGTAGCCAAGTGGACAAGGCACCTGCCCGGTAAGCAGAAGGGTGTGGGTTCGATTCCCGCCCCTGGACACTTTTTATTTTTCCGTTCTCCATTACTCTTCATGTTTCACCTTTCCATACCTCATCTTCAAAGTTAGAAATGTCGCTATTTCTCTTTGAAAATAAATTTCGATTTTTAAAAAAGAAACATTCGCGGTATAATTTTAATTTTCGTTTTACAATCATCAGCCGCGTTATATTGTATTTTAAATGTTCTTTTAGTGTTTAATATATATGTTATTAAAATTCTGAAAATTGTTACGCAAATTGTTATATAAGTTATTAAAGTTTAAAATAATTTCATTGAAAAATCTCTGTTAATTATTGAGATTATGGCAAACAAAAATATTAGATTTTATATATATCGTGGCGAAGGGTCAAAATTTTATTGGAATATATTTAAAAGGTTATATTGTCACGTAGAAATTTTGAAAAGACAAAATTCAGAATGACACAGGGTAATTTTTTTTAAAGGCAAGAACAACCTAAAATTTAGAAAATACTAGAGAGACAATGAATAAAAAGTTAATAATATATTTATGAAATAATAAATATTTCGCGCTCTACAATATATTACCAATTATCTAATAGTTGCAATCAATTTGTGCTATATTACTATGAAAATATTTTATTACTTTTTGTTTTACTTCTATGATTTTTCTTATTAAATATTTAAAACTTTAAAAAAAATTGGTTGAATTTTTTTTTAAATATCCGTAATATTTACGAATTAAAACATTATCAAACCAAAATATTTAGTAAAGTCTGAAAGATGAATTGCAGACGAAGATTAAAGTGTTTATGTTAGGTGAAAATTACGGCGTTACATAGCCTTATAGTATTTTTGTTTATAATAACACGTTTTTAAATATGGAATACATCTCTATATATATTTAACAAAACGTGTGTATAGTGATAAAAAAATACATAATATATTGTTTAATTAAAAAGGCATATATTGGAACAAAATATCATTTATATATGCCTTTTTATTAAAGATTTATTTATGGATTGCTCTATTTTAAAAATAATATATTGTAAATATTTGTTTTTCTGATAAAATAAGCTTAATATGTTCATAAAATTGTTGATATCGAATACCAAATCTCGACCTTGTTATTTAAAATGGAATACACACACATATATTTACACAAATTATGAAAAAGTAGACAAAAATTAAATAATAAAAATCAAGTGGTAAATTTATGACGAGGTATACTCTAATACCTACAAGTTAGATAATATTGTCGTGAAATTTGTTTAGAGTGAAATCAAAGTAATTGTTTATTAAATATGTAAATATTTTAATAGTTCGATGTTATGTAAATTCTATAACTGTATTTTTCCTTCTTTCTTTTTTAAGATTGAAGGTGAGAAAGAGATCACTCACTTTTCGAGCCTTAATAATTGTGATGTTCCTCTCTTCGATTAAATAAATAAATATGCTTTACCAAATTAAGAAACAAATTTTAATTATATATCTTTCTAAATGTTAAACAAACATTTTTAATATATTCATAACAACAATAATTACAGTGCTGCCAAATCCAAACAATCAAAAATAAATTAATTAAACAGAGTATTTTATATAATTATTATAAGCTGAATAAAAAATGAAATAGCTCTGTGTACCTATATTCATTTAATTGTGACAATATGCAAAAATAATCGAGAAGTGAAGCATTAACATGAAGTACAGGGTGATCCAAAAGTCCCGCACAACTTTAAAAATTAATAACTCCGCGAATATTTGCGCTAGAGCAATGCGGTAAACACCATTGTGTTCAGGATGCAATGGGATTTTTTATGGCAAATAATGAAAAATTCGAAATTGATTTTAGTTACAACTTTATTCGCTAGATGGCGCTCTACCAGAATCAGAGATTCAGCGGCCAAATTGTTTAATAAATTGAAAAATATAACTGAACGACACGTATTTTACCTTTTTGAATACCAGGAAAGAACCCTAATGATATCAAATGTTAAATTAATAAAACACCATTTCGCCAAAAGTTAGAAGAATTGGTTGACGATTTTTAAATACAATCTGAGATATGTAAAACAGGTATATGCAAATTAAAACATGTAGCAAAAATATTTATATTTTAGATGGAGGTTTGTGAAATAGATTGAATGTTTGAAAATAACTACTGATTGATACACGATTTTTTTGAAATGTTAATATAGTACCAAAAATGATGATGGCACTACTAATAGGATTTCGTGCTATAAGGAATGTAGTTTCTTGACTAATTGGCGACACTTGACTATTTAACTGGATATTTGTCATGATCCAAAAATGAAATATAAGGGGAGTGACAAAATATATTTGTCGTACTTTATTCCAAATATCCTATGGGTTTGTCAAATAGTATCATTGTTTATTATACTGTACATAATTTTGAAAATGTATCCCCACAAAAAAATCATTTTTAAATCGACCTTTTGCGTTTAAAAACGTGGTAGTAAAATCATTTTGTATTATTTTTTGCGCAAAATTTCTAAAGTTGGGGGGGATACAGAGAATATTCCTTATGCTATTTCTTCTAATGAGCGAAAAGCGATAAACTAAACATAAGGGGTAAAATTGTGCATACCAGTGTTATTCGAGAAGTTATAAAACTTTGGCCTGCACGACATAATATAAGATGTGGGCAAATAACAAACAAAAAAATTACTGTTCACAGAAAAAAAAAAGAGTCAAGATGTGAGGACGGCATTTATTATTCCCATAACCCAAAACAAAGAGCTGCAAAATATAACACATGAGGTAACTGCCTTCTCTCTTGTATTAGGTCCCAATCCTTGCTCAATGTGGCGCCCTTCATTCTCAAACACCGCCTGCAGACGATAGATGACAGAATAATTACAATTAAATAGTTGAAATTTATAAAACGTGCCATCTGATAGAAGCCTTCAACATGGCCAATGTGGTAGACCGGCATCGATAAAAACGCGACTTAATGTACCCCCATAACCGAAATTGTAAAGCGTCAAGTCTGGTGATATTGGAGGCCACTGGTATATAAAGTGGCGACTTATCAACGAATTTCACCGAACGTATCCTTCAGCAATTGTTTGGCACCGCGGGAGATATGAGGAGGTCCTCCATTTTGCATGAATGTTATTTCGCTTAGTGCTTGTCTGTCCTGCAATATGGGAATAACCTTTTCTCTCAAAAGTTGAACATAACGTTCACCAGTTAGAAAAACGGTTTTAAAAGTTCTTCCATTGATTTTTCAAAGAAAATGGCCCAATAATAAAAAAAGAAGTGAACCCACACAAAACTGTAACTGTGCTAATGAAGTGGTATTTCTGTAAAAATCCTAGGGTTTTCTGTTGCCAAAATGAGGCAGTTTTGAATGTTAAATTCTCCCTTTAGATAAAAGTGAGCATCATCTGTTCTTAGAACATTTGACAGCCAGTTTTCATCAATATCAATTTGCCGGAAAACCCATGCAGCGAATTCTTGACGCTTCTCAAAACCGCTGACTTTCAACACGTGAAAACTTTGAATTTTTTAAGGGTATTTTTATAGAAAAATTCTAAATGTGTGTTCTCTCCAAACTGTTCCATACGAAATCCCCGTTTGTCGAGAAACTTGTCTAGCACTTACTTCTCCATACGTGGATAACGTTTCAATAGCTTCAGCATTCTGCAAAACCGTAACAGCCACTGACTTGCATGTCGATGGTCTTCCACTCAGAGGTTTTGCTTCCAGACACCCAGTTTCCTCAAAACTTTTAATCAATCGCTTTAGAGAGTAGCAACTCATTGGTCCTTTACCGCTTCGAATATCTTTAAAGGAACGAAACACGCTCGTAAAGCTTCAGTGGATGATTCTGAATCACAATTTAAAAATTTCACCAAGAGTGCTTTATCCTGTAGTGACGACATTACAGGGGGAAGGGGAGAAGTCCGACCACACCTCCTTGCGGTCCCCCCTGGACCCTTGGAATATTTGACCAAATTCTGGTGCGTTTCCAAGATGACTAACGTTGCAATGGCACCCATTTTCAAATGAAGAGCAAAACTGATATCTCCAGTAATGCTACCGCGTCCGGGGTAACCGCCGCGTCAGGAGCTGCAGCTCGAGCTCATGATGAGAAATCTACTACGAGGACACAATTCAATCTACTACAACTCAATATAAATGGTACCCAGAGGAAAATAAAGAGCTGACTTGTCTTCTCTGTGACAACAATGTACATATTAATTGTCCTCAGGAGACAAAATTGAATCAGAATCTGAGATTCAATATCAAAGATTATACAACACTACGAAAGGACAGACCGGGAAAATTCGGAGGAGAACTTGCCGTTTTGATTAAAACTCTAGAAACCAAATTTAAGGAAATCGCCTATAATCAGAGTAAGCCTAGAGAAAGCACGACAGATGCTCAGGCAATAGAAATCTATCTTACAGATAAAACAATTCCAATCATAAATGTTTATCACCACGATAATACTAGCATCAATACAGGCCTGATTGAGAAATTAAGTGAAGCGTCTTCGGATATCGCAATCATACTTGGTGATTTTAACGCCGAAAGACCAACTTGGGGATCACCTGTCCAGGATAACAACGGTCAGCAGGTTGAGGACATGCTAACCGACCTCGACCTTACACCGTTAAATAACGAAAAGAACACCTATCTATCCAAGTCCACAGGCACAGAATCCGCAATAGACATCACAGCGATAAATTACAACATCGCACCCACAACACAATGGAAAATTCTGAAAAGTGCACTCAGTGACCACAGACCAATTTTAACAACCCTAAAATTCAAAATTGAGAATTTACAACAGAATAAAAGAACACTGGAAAAAAATTCACAGAAAAGCTTGAAGAACTGTGCAACGAAGAATTAAATCACAGAACGATTGACAAAAAATTGGAAAAATTCTCTTCGAACATATCCAGAGCTGCAAAGGTATTGATACCTAGAGGTAGACGTAAAGACCTGTGAATACTTTACTGGAAGGACCACAATATCGAGGCAATGAATGCAGAGATACACAATATCAA